ATGTCATACCATAATTTGTCCACAAGAGGGCACTAGTGAGTCTGTTCTCTAACTGAAAAATCTTCAATTTAGTACTTTGGTCAAAAATATATCTATATAATACTGTATATACTCAAAGAAACAAATACAAGACATTAAGTATTCATACTGTATGCGCTCAATATGTGGTAGTGTTATTGGCATCAAGAAATTACGATCATTTTATGTTTGTGTTAAAGTTGCACCTCACGTGATAGAAGATAAATATATTCCTTACACTTTTGCTCTTGGTTTTCATGAAAAACCATTTCAATCTGCATGAGAATAAAAACTTTTAACGATTGACTGTGCCTTGTTATAGTTGGAAATGAGCAATGGGGTCAATTGAAAATGTCCAGTTTTAAATAAACAAAATGAATGTTAATGGACTTTGTCTTGTAAAGTACTTCCATCTACCCAAAGCAAGTTTACACCATTTCACCATAGCAGAGGCTGAAAAAGTGTCCAACCATCCATACTACATCTACACACCCACCAGTTTCTCAGGTGGAACAATTTGGGGTTCAGTGCCCGTGCCATGTGTCTACAGGAGCTTGGTTGAGAGACTCCACCATAAAGCCACAGCTGCTCCAGCTTTCCTTTATTTTGAGATGCAGCACAGGTTTTTTTTTTTTTCTAATTTTATTTTCATAGCAGCCTTTTTTGTTCTCACTTGTCACTCTTTCTTTGTCTTTTACGGTGTTCTTTCAGTCTCTTTAAAGTGACAGATGCTGCAAGCTGTGCTCTGCCGCTGCCTGTTCATACTGTATCTCAAGGACAAAAAAAAAAACCTGCCAGTTCCTGCATCAAATACTAAGAAAACCCAGATGATTGAAAGGCCTTCCCCTGTTGTTTGGCTTTTTATACACAGTGAAGTTCTCTTCTTTTCTAGGCTTCAGCTGTGGCACCATATGTTCAAAACACATTATTACAAGACATTGTGATAAATTTAGACTTACCTTCTTGTTCCCGTCATCAGGCATTTGGGATAAGGGTTGGCAGTCATGAAAAGGAAGATATAGAGAAGGAAATAATGTTGCAAATAAGAATAGGACTGAAAATGAGGAACATATTTTTGTAGATTGTTGATTTTACATTCGGGACCCAGGCCTGAATCCGAGTATAGGCTTGACCCCAAAGTGTAGTTCATTTAATAAGTGTGAACACAAACGTACTGGACTCATGGTACTGTGCCCGAGTCCGCTTGAAGAGGTGGTCTCGGGCATGACTTGTGTACTCAAGTTAGCAGATGTGAAGGCAACCATGCTCAAACAAGGAAGATCAACACTATGTGACGTCCCTGAGCTGTACGGTAGATGTGGAAGTAGGGAGAGGGTCATGTGCGTAACAGAAATAACAATAACATCCACAGCCTGGTAGACTCAGCCCGCAAGTGGTTGCCATGGCTGCTACTTCTTTCTGATTTTTGCTGGATTAACAAACCAACTGTGTGCATACTGCCACCTGCTGCATTGGACATGCCCAAATGTTCTTGGGTACTCAACAATGTTACTGATGTAAACGCAAACCAGCAGAATAGAGGGAAGGGGGAGCAATTGTTTTCAGGCACGTTAAAAATTGTGCCTAATATGAAAAAGCCCGATAACAGCTTCTAAACACTCACAAGTTGCTTTAATTCTTTAAATGTATGTCGTAAAAAAAAAAATTCTTTCCCACTTATAAACACATTGTAATTTAGCAGAGCAAGTTTTCAAAAATCATTTAAGACAGTATTTGCTCGTCAGCTCATTTTTTTTATCCTGCATTTCCTGTCATTAGAACAGATATGCATCATCAGATGAAGGTCTGTCATTTCACCAGCTGTGATTACAGTCAATAATGCATCAGTGAAACAGGTAGCACCACAAGAACATGTCCCAGAAAATATATACTGCTGTGATTTAATTCACAAGAAACTTTAATGGTTTTGTTTTTCATCTGTTTTTATCCATATTTATATTCACATCAATAAAATCACATCTTAGTATTGAGTTAGATTGTGAAACAGTGCAATATCTGTAAACGCTCTAGAGTAATAATATCCAAAATGAAATAATAATAATAATAATAATAATAATAATAATAATAATAATAATAATAATAATCCTTAGTAAAAGGGTTTGCACTTTTCAGTATTTTCTATCTTTTTAACAAACTTTTAAAACTGAACAAAGGCAATAGCCAAAAACATTTTCCTGTTGATCAGGATGTAAGCCAGCAGTAAATACTAAAGTACAGGATATGATTAGAGCTTTGTTATACTGATGTCCAAAAGAGGTAAAAATGTAGAACACTCAACAGAAAAGATCCCACAGGTGGCAAAAAATAGCATTAAGTACTTCCTGGCTGAACCATTTTGCTATTAAGAAGTACAAAGTTCAACCAACTCTTAAAGATATAAAGTATATTGTTAACATCAACCTTTTCTTCAAGCATTAAAATGTATAACTCGTGTAGATTATAGTATATATAAGATATAGTATTCAAGCTAACTTTTATTAGACTACAGCTGATTTGAAACATATTTCACAAAGAGATATCACTCTCCTTCCCTCTCTTAATCCACATTGCCAACACCTGGTGGAGCAAGAGGCTTTCAAGTGTGTGTGTTCATGAGAGCACCATCCTCAACCAGGAAGTGGATCTTGGAGAAAACCATCATTAGAAATCAGCAAGTATGAAAAAAATATATAATTTAGTGATAAACATTATAAATGTATTAATCAACTTAAATGAATTTTGATTGATAAAGTTTAACATATCACAAAAAGACAAGAAAATATACAACTTCAGGTCCTCTTCCTATAGCTCTTTCTCAAGCCGACCATCTCGTCTAATGAAGACCTCACTGATGAGATTATGGCTTGTAAACAGATCCAGGGTTAACTTTTTGTTTTGTTTTCATTTCTTTTAATTTGCTAACACTTTTTTTTACCAGTAAAGAAGGAACATTCATGCTAAAAAAACATGTTTTTAAATAGCTTTCACTTTCATAATAGCATAGTATTGTTTATCTTTAGTCCTTTTTTGGTGCCTTCATTTAGAGATAGGACAGTGGATAGAGTCAGAAACTGGGGAGAGAGAGAGAGAGAGAGTGGGGAATGACATGGGGGAAAGGAGCCACAGGTCAGATTCTAACCCGGGCCGCCCACCTGGATGACTACAGCCTCTGTACATGGGTCGTGTGCACTAACCACAGTATTGTTGCATACATATTTCACTTTTTACTTTTAGCACAATAGAGGAGAGCTGAACTGAAGAGTGCGAAAGACAGCTTTTCAGGTGTTCTTTTTTTTACCATGACGTGCCGACGGCTTCTAAAAGTACCTCCAGGTTTCCATGAATGAACACATGTTCAACAATATAACACATTTTTATGAAGTGAGGAGACATTTTCAAGGTCTTAAATCCTAAATATGAAGACTTTCCTGAGTATTTGTTCAGGATTCATGTGTAAGTTATTAAGCCTAAGTTAAGCCTATTCATAACTGACTCAGATGAGGAGTGTGTTATTGCTGTTAGCTTGTCTGGGATGTACAGTAAAAAGCTGTTATTGGTAGTCTGTGTAAGTTATAAAGTGACGTTGTTCTGTGAGTATAGCTGCAGCTATTCACATGTTTCTTTCCTTCCTTATGTGTGTGTGTGTGTGTGTGTGTGTGTGTGTGTGTGTGTGTGTATGTGTGGATTCAGTCACTCTGCTTTACAGCTCAACTCTGAATCACTCTGCTCACCTCAGTTCTACCCTTTCTCTCCTTTCCTCTTCCTGTCTCTTCCTTCCTGGCCCCTTGCACAGCTCTGTTCCTGCAGTACCTTTTCTCCAAACAAATGAGTCACTGACAAATTTCAAGCAGTGCACCTCTGCATAACCCTTAAGGGCCAAGTTAATCAGATGACACAAATACTCCTATTCCTGTCATATTTCCTAAATGCGATCAAACATAATCAATGGTATCAGTGAGCCTGAGAGGGAAGATGTAGGAGTGGAATGAGTGATAGGAGGAGGAAGCTGAAAATAATCCTCAATAGGGATTACAACTATAAACTTAGATTTAAACAATGCAAATGTTTATTATGCATTATGTATTTCCTACACAATATATTATCTTTAGATTTACTTGTACTGAATGAATATTGAATAAACTGAGATAATGAGATAACGTCTTCTTATGTTACCTTAGCATGCAGATGTGCAGAAATTAGAAGAACAAAAAAAAGATCCTTGCTGTTGGTTTAATTGTATGCAATGTTTGAATTTAACCAGCGTAAAGCTGTACCTGTTAGCCCATTATTAAAGTGAATATACCGGTCCCATTTTTCTTATTGAAAAGTAAATATAGTAAATAAATCAATATCTGTGCTTCAAATCCTTCTCCATAGTTTTCAAGATAAATGTAGACATCTCAAACAGTGGAAACAATGAGGTTTCCCAAAAAAGGATTCCCAATTGTTTCTTAATATTATAATAGTTCTTCTATAAAGAGTCTGATTCGTGCCTTTTATTTTAATCTTTCTTTGTTTTTTGTATGATATTCACTAAAGGGTGCATATTTCAAAGAGGGAAAAATATCTTTCCTGTGATCATGAAAAGAAAAGATGGGCTTTAATCTTTCATAGAGTTTTTTTTTTTAAATGTGTGCTGTTTTTAGATAAAGATACTTTAGGGTCAGTTTATGTCTCCATTTTTTGCTTTAGCATGCTTTGATTGAAGCCTCCCTCATGAACAATCTGCACGTGTCAGGAAAGTGTTACAGAAAATGATCTGTGATGACACTCTCAACAGTCACTGGAGTTCAAAGCAGATAATGTGAAGTTCTCTGGGCAAGTGGCAAATCTGTATATTAATAATAATATAGGTTATGAATTATACATGATGGATAATTCCAACAAATGGACACCAAGTAACCATAGCAACTGTTTTACAGCGGTAACAGCAGGTTTGTAGAGTTCGTTTTAAAATTCTCTTTCTTTTTTCTTTCTTTCAGCACTCTTTACAGAAGTTCCACATGACATCACGACACAGAGCGGTGAGGATGTAGAAATGGCTTGTTCCTTCCGTGGGGCGGGCTCACCCTCCTACTCCCTCGAGATCCAGTGGTGGTACATCAAGGACCACAGCAGCCGGCAAGCGAAGACGTCCCAGATCACTAATGATGTAAGCTGTGATGTAAAGTCACCAGCGGGGTTAAGGCAAAGTTTAGTTTAACCAAACAGGGCTGACAATTGATGGGATGCTGATCTTTAGTGAATTAACAATGCCTCTAACACTTGAAAATATTGTGTCATCACCTCCTAATGCCAGCTTAGAAGTGAGTTTTCCAGCATGTTCACACAATGTTCACACAATCATTCCACACACTTTGCGTCTTTTTCCCCGACACAGATTTGAGGAAGTCAAACAGATAGAAAATGTCATGTTTGCATTAAAAGCTCTCTTCAGCAATTGTGGAGTGCTCAGGACAGTCAACCAGGGCACGTTAAGGAAATCAAACTCACATCAGACTTTGTGCCAAGTTGGACTCCTTAGAGGTGGTAACATACTTGACTGGATCCCCACAAACAGCATGCAGCTAGAGTAACGAGAAGGCAGCAGCCCAGCTTTTTTCCTCTTTATTTTTTTTAACAATATGTTTATTGAGTTTTAAACATTTTTACAAGACACATAATTACGATTGAATAAATTCTAAGGAAGATATACACATACACATATATACGCATTTATAAAAAGTAAAATATAATTATACAAAATACAAAATAAAAAATAAAAATAAAATGTAATTACAAAATGTTGCAAAATGATTACTGTCCGTGTTAAATAAAAATAACAAGACGGAGTACATTGCCATAGATAATTTGTTAATCACAAATATTCTGCCCTAGGAGTTTCTGCAAAAATGACCACAATTACAGACATTGCCAAATCTTTACCAGGCGAGCTCAAAATATGTGACAGATCTTTATCCTGAAGAAAATTAATATATAGGCCCCAGATATCGTCAAATAATTCTCGTTTGTCTTTAAGTGTATATGTTATCTTCTTTTTTCCTCTTTATTGTGATAAGACAGCAAGACCAGTTCCAAGCTTTTAGAAGGGTGGCCTTAAATGTCATACAAGCACTAGCTTCAGTAGAGGAGACATAGAGGATATAGTGTGGAGCTAGGTTTGACAATTTAGAGAAAAAGTCACAAATGAAATATTTCTAGTGGTCATTTACAATAAAGAGACATGTGTTACTGACTCTGAGGGTGAGAAGGGATAAGTTGTCTCAGACATTTCAGTTACTCAATCCACAGATAATGTTTCCACATGTTTTTGCGGTGCTTCAGATTTCAAACTTTGCTCTTGACAGATTGCCAGGGTTAGCAGACGTGTTCTCTTCGACCACAAAATGAGCTGGAAAACAGCATGAGCAAAATATGACTCAGCTCATATTTCACTGATGCCGATAGATTCGGACCAAGACTAGAACAACAGGTTCCCGGGGGGCCTCACAGGACCTGGTCTGGATCTTAATTAAAACCATGTGTTGAATTGACAGTGCAACAAAAACTAGCAAGCAAGTGGATGCTCAATAAGTAATGTATTACTGTTTTAAACTTAAAGTGGTATTAGTTGAAATAGTTTGCCAACTGTGATAACAACAACTGAATAATAAATATACAGTAAACATGATAAAGAAACAGTGGGAAGAGCTAGGTAAAGCAGATAGTAATATCTTTTAGTAAAAGGCAACAGTTGAGGTGGGAAAAAAATGAGCTTTTGAAGAAGTTAGCAATGAGTGAAGTGTTGAAACAGTTAATTATCTCTGATAAATCAATTTAGTGAGCTAAACATAACTCAACAACTGTTTCTGACAGTAAACACTGAGTAGACACTAAAAGCTAATTGTTGAAATAGTTAGGTGTAACTATGACTGACTAACAAAATGACTGATGAGAAGTGAAACATGATATGAACTGTTTTTAATGTGTAAGCTGCTTGTCTGTGTTACTGACTGCATGAATGTTTTTTTTACTGTTTTATCTGGAGAGAGAGATCTATTCTATTCTATTCTATATTATTTTTATTCTGTAGAACAGGTAAATATTAGAGGACACTAAGCCTTTCTCTAAATAGCTGATAAAATGTTATATTTTAATATTATTTATCGTCCATTAAACATTTCTGTCTATATTTAACTAAACAGCATTTTTAGAAATCTCTATTGAAGTCAAAGAAAAGCCGTACAGAATATTACTAGATAGATAGATATTCATTTCTGAACTTTAAACTACAGCTATTTTCTCATACATGATATCTGCTTTTAGTTTACTCTGCAAACAAAGTCGATGTCCTCAAGGTTAAACATTTTATCATCCCTCAAGTGAAATTGCAAAGTCCAATTCCAGCTTCACTTTAATTTATGCAGGACTGCAATGCTTGAGCTGAACCTATAGCTCCCTGTATATCAGGCAGAGGAAAATGCAATATTAGCCATGGCAGAAACCCCCTGGCACAGCATCGAAGGGATAATTGCTGATTCGCATTTGCTAGCACTGGAGGAACAGGTGGATTCTCTCCCATCATGGGGAACTCTGCTCCCCTGTTGTGCCTCTCGACTCTATAATTGGCACTGAGAAAGAAATAGATTTTCAAAATCTTGGTCTGCTGCATGCATAATTCATATCTATGCCAAACTGAATACCTCAGTGCCTCTGCATACACATCCACACACAGCAGGCTTTTCAGAGGCTTTATGTGCTTGGTTCTTTAGATCTGGAGCTCTACACACACAATCATACATGCATATTAAAGCACACACACACACACACACACACACACACACACACACACACACACACACACACAAACATACATTAAAGGTTAACCACCAGACACTGAAGGAACTACAATGATGGCATCTTTAGTCCTTAGAAGCTGAGTTTTGTTAAAGATATCAAACATGTTTCTTTCTGTAATGTTTTTCAGCCTTGATAAGCCTTCTGTTGCTTATTCATCATCCATATTTCTGTACAGATTTTACCCCTGGAGAAAACATCAAAAGATGCCACCAAAATTAGCGTGAGTCTGATCATACAACAACATGTCAACGAGCACAACGCAAAAGACAATATCAAACTGAACTATGAGCATGTTTTTTTATGCAATTTGAAATGAGACAGACTGTATCCTGGAAGTCATAACTGTATAGTCCTTTATATTGTTGGCTTGCCATTTTGTTGTGCTTGTTAAAACTGTTTGACAATTATTCCCTATATAGCACTATTTCAAGCTGCATTGTGCTAAAACAAAGTAATGAAGTTAACAGTGCAGAGAAAATGTAGTGCCCTAAAGTTTTGCTTTCATTTTACTGATGAGCTCACTATATAGTACTTAAAGGCTTTCTATGTGATTTTTCACACTTAAATATAATATAAATCAAGTCTATCCTCTGAAAATAACTCTGTGAGTCATGACTGTCTACAATGGGTGTAACACCCGAGTCCCACTGTCTGTGATGTTTTCAGAGTTTTCAGAGTCCTATCTTCACTTTGTTTACATCGCTAGGAAGGCCGGCTGACTCCTCCCCTCGTGTATAAAAGTTGTTTAATTGAGGGACTAGAGAAAAGAAGAATAACATACTGTACTCACTGCTTAACTGTGTTTCTAGATCACGCTCATTTCAGGTAAATTTACATGCAGTGTGAAGATACGAGCATAATAAAGATCGCTAGCATTAGCATGCTAACACAACAATGCACCGCGAGTTGTTTTGGTTTCATGCTGATGCTCAAGGGCGACATCTGCTGGATCAAAAAAATCACATATAAAGCCTTTAATTGAATATAGTCCATATACAGTGAGGGATTAGGGAATAAGTGAAAGATTTCAGACATACCAATCTTCTGACATATGGCTTTGAATAAAATATTTTTTGTCTTTTATGACCAAAAGGTTGTAAAAGTTGCCGGCAGCAACATCTCCCACAAGCTCCGCCTCTCCAGTGTCAAGCCATCAGACGAGGGCACATACGAGTGTCGAGTCATCGACTTCAGTGGCACCAAAGGACAACAACACCACCGTGTTCGGGCTTACCTCCAGGTGGAGCCTGAGAGGAGACAGGGCATACACCACCAGCAGCAGCAGCAGCCACAGCACCAAACTGAGGGCATGGGCCTGAAGAGGAGATCAGCCAGCAGCACCACTGACTGTACCGAGAGCTGCCTGATTTAAAGAGGAGGGTCTGCCATCTGTCTGCATGTTCAAGACATTTCTCTCCAATAAGGGACTGTCATCAACACACACACACACACACACACACACACACACACACACACACACACACACACACACACACACACACACACACACACACACATCAACACAGAGACGAAGAGTCGGACAAAACTGGACACTTTGTATTTAATATCAAAGCTAACTTTAAGTTTTTTTTTTAACAGAGAGAAAGGACGGTTTCCTTTGCAATGTGCCAGTTCTTACACAAGCAAAAGCCAAAAGCTGCAGTCTTTCAATGTAAATGCTTTTTAAAGGAATAAAGAATGAATTCAGCTTTTTTTTTCCTACATCTAATCTTTTCAAAGCACATTGATTTCATCCATGTAATCTATGTTTAAACAATGTACTTAACTTTCTATAAGACTACTGGAATGTTTGCGATATAAAAAATATATGCTTTCGTCACAGTTAAAATATATATTCTTGTGTACATTCTTAATCAGCAACGTAGACTTTTATTATCATTCAAGTAAATTAAACTCTGTGCTACTAAACCAAATGACTCCAGAGACATAAGTACATTAATCTCTTCAAACTTTTGTCGCCATTTTCTCAACCACAGTCCTAACTTTTTATTCTTTACTTTCATGTCTTTGTCATTTGAATCCCTTAACTGTGTTTAAGTTCTGCTGTTTGATATCTGCTTTGTTAAATACATTCATTTGAAAACACATTGAAGTGCTTTCTGTTTTGTTTTTACTTACTATCCTGAAGACTCACTATGCTAAACACTCGGAGAAGGGATTGATTCCACCAAAGTACAAAATAAAGGTTTCAAGTAGTTAAAGTAACGTTTTTCATACGTCCATAAAAAGAGTGTTAAGAAAGCTGACTCATTTTGGACTAATGTCTATTTCCTATGAAAGAACCTCTGTCGTGTACTGGAACCAAAGAACGACAGAGAGACTGTGGGTAAGTCATGTTCCTTGTAAATACATGTTGTGGATTGGTGGCACAAACTTAAAAGTTTTTATTGTTTTATCCCTGTGCAGAGAAATTCAATTTAAAGCTGCTAAAGCGTACAGATGTGGTGCAGGGGAGGACAAGAGATGATTTATAAGCATAGATTACTGTTCAATTACTAAAGGATGGTAAGAAGGAAAGATGATTCAGTTTTGAGTTTCTCTGTAAAATCCCTTTAATAGATATTTTTACGTGTTTTCTCCTCATGTCACAAACACATTAGAAACCAGTGTGTTGCTGCCAGATACTGTGACTCCTTTTTAATAACCGCAATTACTGTTTGTGGCCTGAAGAGAGCAGCCTTTACTATTTGAAGGAAGAGAATCACAATGATTTGATCCCAGATAAGCCTGTATTGTTTTTCCAAAAGTTGGTCATTCATAATAAGGTTTGCCAGTAAAAGCTTTAAATGGAATGCAAAATAACCATTTTAAACTGTAATCTGACCACGAGCAGGCCTTTCAAATATTATGTGTCCCAGTAGTAAGAAGATGGGGACTTGAAATGAACATTTAATGCCATTACTATAACTATATTCATGGTGGAATGTGGTTGATTTCTTTAGTGCATAATATAGCAGGATTATATATCCTGATCAGCCAATGACACATTCCTTATATACCTAAACTATCAACTAAAAGGACATCTATGAGATTTGGAAGATTTCTGCATCTTTACATGGCAATCTATTGCATCCTCAGTGAAGGTCGAAGATAATGTGAAGACACAACTCTTTAATTGCACCACTGAAAAAGTATAAAAATAGTACATAAAAATACTAAAATACTAAAAATACAAATGAGTTATATTTGTGAAAAGAAACGGTACATTCTCTCGTGATGTTTTGCATGCTCTGATTGGATTTGACATAATGAATACAAAGTGCTCTTAAGGTCACGTATCAATATCTGTGATCCTGAATAAAAGAACTGATATACATGTAGCCATAAGGAATATACACTGAGCTACTTCAAAATCAAATACATGAATCACGACTGCACAAGCAGGTTCCCTTTTTCAAATGGCTCGACAGTTTCAATAGAAGAGTACAAACGTTGCATTACACACTGCAAAGGTATTGAACCCATTATTTTCCAATGATGACATTTCTGTAGCCCTTGACGTGACACAGCTTGTTGCTGTCGAAGTCGACCACCAGCTTTCTCAGCCCAGAATGGGTGGGAGTGAAGTAGATTTTCACCTTGGCGTCCTGCCCTGGTCCCACTGACGAGCCCATCCTGCAAGGTAAATATTTAAAGATTAAAACATTTTGACACACACTAAGAGGACTTTCTCACTCCTCTGATTGTATAAATGTTAGACAACTGTTCACCACAGACTGAAACCATGACAGTTTGGTCTTTGTAAGGACATGGTGTACATGAAGCCGTAGTGTTTGTCAGATAAAATATGCTTCGATGACAGTTTTGTTGCCAATAACTCTGAGCAGCCGACTTCTGTCCTAACTAAACAACAGCACATCCAACCCGACATCTGGAGGCTGAATAACAACAAGAGCAACAAATCATAAAACAGTATAACACATATGCAAGAGTTTGGAAGACACATTTCTATAACACAAACTCAATGGTTTTCTAAATGGCCAAAGAAAAGCTGGTTAAAAAAAAGTGCCTATTACATATTTTGAGTGAGTCTTGGTCTAAAAAGAAGGCAGTTTATGTTGTGTTGTGGTCTCCAGTTTACACCTGCTTTATTGCTGCTCTGTGTATGTAATGAGTAATAATATTTCTAAGTGATTAGGGAGGGATTTATACAACCTCTCAGAGATGACGCGCCCCCCAGTGAGGTTGGACCCCTCGATGCTGAAGCAGCAGTCTTCCAGCGGCTCTGGTAGAGGGTTTTGAAGGGTGATTTCTGCAGCCAGCTTCCGATTCTCCTTTGGTTCACCCAGAATCTGCAGAGCAACAGAGACATCTGGGTGTTACTTGATGAAAGTGTCGAAACAAGCACAACACACTTCAGCTTGATCTGAGCTTTGTTTATACATATTGTAGACCTCTTATTGAAGCTGTAGAGACTCAACAGATTCATTTTTCACAACTTTTTCTTACACATATCCAAGTCTGCATTTGGAAGCCAAACGTTGTCAGGACAGAATTGATAAACTGCTATCTCTTTGTTAAGTTAACATGCTTTGTTGTAGTTGATTGTACCCACTCTGACTTTGATTTCAGGGTTCTCCAGCACTATGTTTCTCACTGCCAGTACATGCTCGCTGGTGCTGTAATCCAACAGAAGAGCTGCCAGCCGGATTAGGTTGTCTTCAGTGAGCAGACTGCCGTACTTAGAGTAGTTCAGCCTTAGTGGAACCCGCCTCTCTAGAAGAACACACAGAACAAATGTGATACTTTCAGTCAAATACAAAAAAAAAAAGGATTACCATCTAAAAACTACAAAGGAAGGCTTACCTGCTCCAGGTGAGAGTTCAACATTGAGCAAATCTTTAAAACCACAGTTCTCTCCAATGGAGCCATTGTAAGACACGGCACAGGAGCCGAACACCATGCGGCACTTCTTTGCACTTTGTGTGTTGTTGGTAACGACGGCAAACACGTCAAAGTCGCAGCCCTTCCTCATGTCTGATGTGACCTTGATGGTGACGTGTAGTCCTTCGTTTTGCTGCTGCTGATGGAGCAGCTTGTTTTGGTGGTTGGCCTTCTTAAACGCCTCGCGCTCTTCATCTGAGCCTGTCAAAGTTAAACAGATGAAGTCATGCATGCTGTCCACATGTGGATACATCTGGAGGGCTTATCTACAACTTCTAGATATACAACACAACACATGCCTGTGTATGTGAAGAAGCAGACACCTCACCTTCTTAAACAAAGGCAGTAAGAACAGACTTAGTGTACTAATGTTCTTTGAATAATCAGAAGTCAAGTAAAAGCCAATCTCTCATTTGGCAAGTGGTGTGGCTGACATGCAGTGTTATAAAGTAACAGAACCTTTCTAGGAAATCTGTACTTTACTTACAAGGCATACAATCATTTGCTTCCCAACAGTATACAGAGGTTTTTTGAAACTAGAGAGAGCCGGTATGAACTGAGGTGTGTATAAAAAACCAAAGGTAAGGACAAACATAAAGAACAGGTGTAATTTGGTTAAAGGGGTTAACTTGTGGAATACTTATGACATGGTATTAAGAATGTGTAGTTCACTTTCCAGATTTAAAATTGTGTTTAAAAAAATGGTGCTTAACAAATATAAAAGGTCAATTTGATTATTTTTTGTGAGTGTGACTCCTGTTTTGTTTTTTGTTTGTTTCATTTGTTTTGTTTTGAAAGAAACTCTTGGATCAAATTTTGTTCTGATATGTTTTGTTTTTTGTAACCAAACTAGTAGTGTCTTAAATAATAAGATTTGTAACAAGGGTAGGTGTAATAAGCTAAAGCTTCAGCCTACACCTTTTCGGTCAAAATGTTTTTGTATTTTCTTGTGACCGAAATAAATGATTACTAATACTACTTGGATTTTTTGCTGTCATTGCAACTTCTACTTTACTCCGCTATTTTTAATCTTGCAAAATGATTCTTTAACTCCACTACATTATTAATGGACACCTCGTTACCCGTTGTAATTTAAGTCTGAATGTAATCATTATTTTCTAATCATCAGCACTGAAATGATGGATACTTAAAAAAATGCTTTAGAGTTGATCTGCTTTTGTTTTAGTTTTAATTTTGTCGGACTGCTTATGTTCTGACTTATACAGTAAGAAGGATTTTACAGGATGGAAAGAAATACGACTTGGGGCTTCAGCCTATTCCTTTTTTGGTCATTCATTGTTTGAATGTTATTGTGTGAAATGGAGAAGTGTAAACGTGAAGTTTTTTTGTTTCGGTTTCTGTAAGTGGACAATTTACACAAATATTTTTGACTCTTGTTATTCTGTAATGAATGACCAAAATAAAAGACATTCATTCATTCATTCATTCATTCATTCATTATTTGGGCTATTCATGTTCTCTAGAAATCAAATAAATTGGTGCGTGGTAGAGGGCTGCGTTGGTAGCAGCGGTGGGGGGGGGTCAACAAAGTCAAGGGTGTTCCCAGATAACTAGTGCTTACAATGATGGAATCCACAAATGAGGTGGAAAAAAGGATGATTAAAGTCGAATTAAAAAGCTGGCATGTATGCGATGAGACGAAACACATGCTGCTTTGTCTCTGATCAAAATATCTCACCTTCAATAAAGCTCTTCTCTCTGCACATATTAGACAAGTACAAGTGCTGACAAGTGTCTGTCGGCTCTGCTACAGCTATACAGTGTGATGCTTTGTAAAAATCTGAGAGCCTGTTTCGCACAAGGACAGCGTGGCTTTTGTGTCTATAAGACAGTGTTTGATTCACAAAACGCACACAGAGGGTTTGCACATCCCTTGTGTGTCTGTGTGCACATACCAGCGCACAGAGAGGCTAAAGCCGTTATGCAGTCCTTTCAGGAAAAATGTCCTGCTTTATATGCAAAAATAGCTTTATTTCAAAAAAGCATCTAATTCACTAACATTGCTGCTAATAGCCACACACAGTTGTCTAGAATAAAATGTTTATCTGCTGTTAGTGGTGAGTGCACTGCAGTATTTATAAGAGATGTAATACACAAACTTTCCTCTGATCAGGAAAACAATTCCTTATGACT